AGAGACACTACTGGTTATTCTTTGGATCCACTGATAAGGTGCCGCCCAGGCAAGGACGGAACTTTGACAACACAGTTACAGCAGCAAATGCCATCACTGCTCTCTGAGACAGTGCGAAACCAGAAGCTACGGGTGAATCCCTCCTCTGCCACATCTGCCTTCCAGCATCTTGCCGGTATCTACCCAGAAGCCTGCTGGCAAAGGAGTCTGAAGTCGGCGACTTGCAGACTTCCAGCCATCTAGAAACTCAACAGAGCAAGGGACCATATCAAGTGACTCATACAAGGGAGGAAACAGAGAAGAGTTAAGGATCTCACACCCAGGCATAAGGAGTCTGAAAAGTGAAAGGATTTAACATCTTTCTTAACCAGAGTATTTGAATGAACATTCTATAGCCCACAGGATGATGGAGTTTCAAGCTTCCTCAAAGCAGAGGGAGGCCTTAAGAGTCCCGCACAAAGGCCGCACAGCCATTCAGAGCCAGATGCACTGAACTGGGAAGTGAGCCTCCTACTAGGTCATGCTGCCATCAAAGCTTTGGTACCTCAACCTCCAACATGCTGATGGCGGGGTCTCTACGGTTGTCATCCTTGTTGTGACATGGATAGATTCTTTTAAATGTAGACCCAGTATTTGAGTGAGTTCCTATTGTAGCAACTTAAAAATGTAAATGTATCTAAAGCATGAAAAGAAACGTCCCCCTTTGCCATCTGCTCTGTAGCCAAGACCCTCCTTCAAGGCAGCAAAATTCAGAGCGAGACTGTGGATCAGAGGCTCTTGAACTCATGCCCATACTGAAGCATAGCACACTGGAGCCTGCATGAGAAGGTGCCAGCTTACCGCACTGACAATGAGTGAACTGGCCTATCTCTCTGTGTTGCAACTCATGGGTGTGTTTTTACAGAAGATTATTCTCATGATCTGAAAATCCCGACTAGTCCGTTTAAAACAGTGGTTCTGCACCTTCCTAGTGCTGCCACCCTTTAATACAGTTCCTCAGCTTCTGGTGATTCCCCCCCCCCCAGCCATAAAATTATTTCATAATTGCAATTTTGCTACTGTTATGAATCCTAATGTAAATTTCTGATACACGGGATATCTGAAATACGACCTTCGTGAAAGGGTCATTTAACCTCCAAAGGGATCTTGACCCTCAGGTTGAGAACTGCTGGTTTAAAGTCCTGGGATGATTCTTTTTGAATACGAGGTATTGAGGAGACAGTGAGCTGCACAACTGGAGTGTTCTAGATCAAAGACATCCACCACAGAGACGGCTACAGTGTGGGTGAGTTCAGGGTTCTTGCCGAATGGCACATTACTACCTTCGAGGGAAAGGTTTCCTTCTATATATTTGACTTAAGCTCTCCTTGTCCCAAAGATGCCACCTGTTCTCATGAATACAGGAGGTGTTTGTTGACAGGAGACTGGGAATGGACCTGAGAAGTTGAAGGGGCTGGTTTCTTTAGAGTCACGCCATATGACAACCCTTCCTGGAGACCCCTGAGATCCTTGGCAGCCCCGTCAGCACGGTTATAATTTATAAAAATACAGACAAGTATAAAAACACACTCCAAAGCATATATGGGCTTTTAACCAGTTCTAGGGGGTCAGTGCTCACAGTTATCCTGACTTGGACCCTTTGCTTCTGTGTATTTTCTGGTTGTTCTGTGATACACATGGACATATATATATATCACATAGCTTTCTTCATAACTAAAATTTATCCCACGGCCAGGGGTGTGGCTTAGTGGTACAGCGCTTGCCTCCCACACACAAGATGCAGGGTTTGCTCTCTTCGTGTTTCAAATAAATACATCAATTAACAGATTGATTAATTACCCCAAGGGAGAACGATTCGTGTATTTCATTTCTCTCAAGATCTACATCTGCTTGCTCTGGATTCTGTGACTGTTTTTCTAGAAGTGTATGTGTGAACGTCCCTCGTTTCCTGTAATCTCAGGAGCTGAAGTATAATTTCCACTCATTACTGACCTGATCATCTGGAGCAGCAGCTCGGGCTGTGTGCTGATCATCGAACTGATAGTGTCTAGTTGTCACCACTGGCACTTGGCTTCACTCGGCTTAGGGATAGAAGGATAGGGCTGTGACCCCAGCTTCCAGGTAAAGACGCCTGCAGACCCTGACGTGGCCTGTTGGGTCCTGTTGGCTGTAGTCGCCAGCCCTCCAGGTTTCTGCAGCTCTCAGAGCATTCCAAAAAGAACAAAGAAGACACCTATGTCTGCCAGTTGCTTTAGAAGAAAATATCCACAGGCTATTAATCTGGAATCTCTCACTTAAGTACATTTGGGGGTCTCCTAATATCTAGGTTTACAAAAACAGTTTCAATTTTAGATAGGTATTATTAGGTCATTTGTGTCAAAATAATAAAGTTACAATCCCATGGAAATATGTTTCTAGTAGGGTAATGAAAATCTGAGAGAATGTAGATTTATTTCAAGTTGGCCCTGATTTTTCTCTACAAATATTAATGTCCTATTCTTGAATACTGGAAGTATTTTTCTTATAACTGCAGAATTTATTATGTGAGAAAAAGGATTTTACATTTAAGTAAGTCTAGATGAGAGCAGGTGGCAAATTTTAAATCTTTGTCCCATCACAGAACTTTCTTAATTTTATTAAGATTTTGATAATAGTTAGATTGTCCAGTGTGAAAATGGTCAGCCCTGAAAATGTACACACAATTAGCATTATATGGACTCAACAGGTTATATTTGGGAATGTGTGTGTGTGTGTGTGTGTGTGTGTGTGTGTGTGTGTGTGATGTATATATCACATGCAGTAGCAAGTGATAAAAAAAAAAAAAGAAGCCATGAATCTGAAGGAGAGGAGAGAGGACTATATAGGAGGGTTTAAAACCTCTAAACTTTAGAAGAATGAAAAGGAAGGGGAAAATGTTGTAGTTAAAATATAATCTCTCTGAGTGAGGTGGTGAACATCTTTAATTTCAGCACTTAGGGGGCAGAAGCAGGCAGATCTCTGGGAAGCCAGCCTGGTCTACATAGTGAGTTCAATGACAGCCAAGGCTATGTAGAGAGATTCTGTCTCAAACAAATACAATCTCAGATATAAACAGAAAAATGTTATGTCTACAAATAACAGCATACCATGCAAATCTTTTTTGAGAGGATTTTGACCTTAGGATCCTTCCCAGCTAATTTCCCTAGTGCCCTTTTGGAGTGTGGCATATCCATGAAGAAACCCACCACAAACACATGGAAAGAAGTTACAGCCCACCTTCAAGTAAAACTAATTCTTAGTCTTAGAAACATTTTTCTTAGGGAAAGAACCAAAATATTTTTTTAGGATTTATTTCTTTGGCCTGAGACTGGTGGGTGAAAGAGAGCCACGGAGCCGCTACAATGAGCAAGTAGGTGGTGGAGAGATGGGAGAGAAAGAGAAGCAGAGTGATTTGTGTGCCATGAAGAGAGGCCGAACTGGAGACCAGAAGGCAGCGAGGAACAGCTTGATGTGAGTGGCCTGCACTGACACCTGAGGCCATAGAGATATTCGACCCCTTGCTGCCACCAAGGGTCATGTCTGGGTCCATGATCCTACTGCAGCTGGGGTATATGTTGATGTCCATGGCCCATTCCCACTGAGGACTGTGTGGATGTCTGTGGTCTGTGCTGCAGCCTGAAGCCAAGTTGATCTTCAAGAGCTGCACAGAGCTGGCTCTGCCCCTCACTGGCCACCGCACAGTGGTACCAGTGGAAATGTGGGTGCTGGAGAGCTAGCCTCACCCCACACCTGGGGAGAGTGGGAGAGCTGGCAGGCAAACCAACTCACCTACCACCCGGGCCCACATCCAGGGCTTTAAGTTGGCCCACCCCAACATCTACGCCATTTATGGGCTGCTGGAGCACAAGAAGGGCCTGGTCCTGTGGATCCATACCCACAGGATCTCCACAACACAGGGCAATAGCCAGATATCCAAGAGTCTTGATGAAGGTCCAGTATTGATAGTATACCAGAAGCCAGAGGCTTTGGACCAGACCAATGACTCATTGCAACGAGCATTTGAAAGTAAAGTCATTTGGGCAAAAGGGTATACTACATGGCACTCCAGAATTCCCAATGCCACTACAATGTGTTGGTGGAGTTTCTCTATGTCCCGGCAGGTGTTCCCAAATAACCACACTGAGACTTATGGTTAATAATAAATGCTCGGCCAATAGCTCACGCTTGTTATTAACTAACTCTTACACTTTAAATTAATCCACAGTTCTTATCTACGCTCTGCCGTGTGGCTTGGTACCTTTCTCAGTACGGCAAGTTCAGTTCCTTCTCTCTGCATCTCCTCCCGATTCCCAGACTCCATCCTTCTTCCCAGCATCCTCCTTGTCTGGCTCTTCTGCCCAATCTCTTCCAGCCCAGCTATAGGCTGAGTCAGCTCTTTATTAATCAATGAGAGTGATACATATTTACGATGTGCAAAGATTCTTCCACAGCAACAATGGACGAATATGTGATGGAGAGGCAGTGAAGACAGAGGAGCAGAATGCTACACGCACAGAAGATTGAAGCTGCTAGAGGAGCAGATCCTTGCCCAGAGGGGTCGACAAGATGGGTTTTTTTTTTTTCTAATTTTTTTTGGGGGGGAAGGTAGGTTACAAGGGTAGAGGGCAGATATGGGAGGACTGGGAAACGAGTGGGATTGGAATGCATAATGTGAAATTCTCAAAGAATCAATTAAAAAAATAAATTATGTTTTTAAAAAAGATTTATTTCTTTTTATTTTATGTGTACGTGTTTTGCCTACATGTATCTTAAGTGTACCATGTACATGCCTGGTACTCATGGAGGCCAGAAAAGGGCGTTGGTCCCCTGGAACTGTAGTTAAGGGTGTTGTTAGCCTCTGTATAGGTGCAGGAACCGAACCTGGGTCTTCCACAAAAGTAGCCATGCTATTAACTGCTCAGCCATTTCTCCAGCCTCAAGAATTCTTATTTGTTTGTTGGTTTGTTTGTTTGTTTGGTTGGTTGGTTTGCATTTTTGAGAGACGGTTTCTTTGTGAACGCTTGGCTATCCTGGAATCACTCTAGACCAGATTAGCCTCGAAATCAGAGATTGGCCTACCTCTGCCTCCTCCACTCACCCGCCCCCACCATGCCAGGATTAAAGGCATGTGCCACCACCACCTAGCTCAAGAATTTTCTTTTACTGGCTTAATAATGTTAATTCATTGCAATTTATATATCCCCAATTGAAAATTGATATAATACAAAATGAATTCGGTGCTTTTTTTCAATTAAAATTTTAAAATGGCAAAAAAATACTATTTTATAAAGAAATGAAAATGGACATGATGAGTGAGTGACAAGAATGTGAAGCTATGTATATGGTGTCTTTCCACATCCTTTTCTTCTGAACTTCCTTGCCCTACCATTTACATGGCTAATAGAGCATCTACCTCTGTGTCAAAGTGGATACCAACAGTTCTGGAAATCTGGAAAACTGAGTGGGTGGGGAGATGAGAAAGGACTGAGATGGAATTAGTTTTTCTCAGATTTGGATCAAACTGACATGTAAACTGACATGCTGAATGTGGCCGTATCTTCATTCCATAGGAGGGAACAGGGGAAGACCGTTGAGTGATGAGGGAAATATGGGCCAGAAGCACACAGATGCATGTACACAGCAATCAAGAGTGTTTTCAACTCTGTCTTCATTTGCAGGCTCCCGAAGACACTCCTGTATTTCAACTCTCCCCTCTTCTTCCCTGCACTCTCTTCTTCCTCTTTTTCCTCCTCTTCCTCTTCTTTTTCTTCTCGAATTTCTTCTTGTTAAACCCAGTAAGGTTTCTGTTGCTGGAAATTAAGAGTTCTAACCAATAGACAAATAATGTAAGTATATACCTGAAAAGATAAGGAAACTAGGAATGATTTACCCTAAAAAGATAAGTTAAGGAAACTGGGAACAATTTACATGTACAGTTATTCACAAGCATCAAGCACCAGAAAACCCGAAATGTTCTAAACATTCAACATTAGATGAGCAATATAAATCATGTTGTGGGGAAATGTTCAGTAAAGTTATGTGTACATAATATATGTAAATAAAAAAATTATGGGAGTTTATGTCCAATTATGATCCCATTTGTGAGTTTTGCATTGTACATTGGCACACGGAAATGATGACAACGTCTGAACAAAAACGTCAACAACAACTTTCTCTGAACGACAGAATTGGAAAACTCTTATTTCCTCATTTTAAAAAGTGTTTCCGTTACCAGTAAGGAACTTGCACTTCTTTTCCATTCAAAAACAAGGAAGTTCCACACGAAATTAAGGTGAAGATGGCGGGGATAGTTTGTTGGTACAGAGGTTGAGTGAGCAGATCAGCAAAACTAAAATCTGTAAAAGTTAAATAGGAGAGACTTCAGCAACAGATTAATATCAATTAAAACTCAATTATGATATTCCTGAGAATGTGAAACAAACCAAAAAAAAAAAATCCCCTGAAAATGAATTTCAATTTGATTGTCACAACTATATTGTGTGGCTAAACAAGAGGCGCACACGTAACTAGATAAACAACATGTGGTTTGTAAGCCTCACTCATTCTCTGTGGGCAAATAGTCACTATCTCACTCACATCAGTAACATTTTAATCCAAAATGTAAATCCTACAGATAATAAATCTACCCTGAAGGGAAGGTGTGTGCTAAACTATGAGCACCCTGTGATGGACTACCATTTATGTTTAAAACAGAAGTTGGAAAAGACTGAAAAGATTCTATAGAAAGGTAGAAAATCATGACTGTGCATGGAAGATAGTTTTTTTTTTTTTGCAAATACAGATTAAACTATGACTCATTCAAATATTTAAAAAATACAGATGAAACTCTCTCTCCTCTCTCTGGCTACCTGCTTGGCATCTTACCCCTTCTAACCTAATTTATACCAAGCAACTTCAATCACAAGATGGGATTGGCAGTATTTCAGAAATGCTTTTCAACAGCACAAAACCTTTTTTTGGAAACTGGGATTAGCTTGCTTCAAATATGGGTATGTAAAAGTAGGCACTCAGTTATGCAATATTTATTCAAGTGGAATTCTTCCAATATTTTCTGGAAGAGAGGTGCTTTTCGATGATGCCATTCTGTGGGCCAACATCTTAGAGAAAGTGCATGAGAGTGTTCATCTTTTTTTTTTAATTAGTGCTTTAAGCATTAAAAATGCATAAATGTGAGAAGCTAAGATAAATGTCAGATTTTTCTATGTAGTGAGTGATTAATTTTAATAAATTCTTATTTGAAAATAAGATGACTTCTAATCCTTTAGTACATACCTAGCAAACTTATTACTCAGCAGGCGTGACTGCCTCCCTCCACATTAATCTGCACCATGAGTTATGAATCCCTGTCTTGTCTGTGTACTGTCTCCACCAGCAGCTCCTTTGGTCTAGCCTCTGGTTCAGTGTGGCACTGAACAGTGTGCTCTCCTCCACTCACCTTCCATTCCGCCAGTGCTTTCAATGTTTCTGCTCGCCCAGTTGCTTCCCTTTCTTTTCATCTTGACTTCTGGAGTATAGTCAGACTTTCTTTGGACTGCCAGTTCCCCAATAATGACCCATAGACTTCTTATTAATTATGAATGCTTGGCCTAGCTTAAGCTTGTTCCCAACTAGCTCTTATAACATAAATCAACCCATCTATATTAATCTACATTCTTCTGCCATGTGGCTCTTCACCTCTCCTGAATACTATAGATCTAACTCCACACATACCTCAAATTCTTCCCCAGTTCCTCTCGCTCCCATGGAAGTCCCACCTATTCTATTCTACCTACCCATTGGCCATCCATCTCTTTATTAAAGCAATCAGAAGTCATCATTGGCAGAGACACATCTTCACAGCATACAAAAAGATTATCTCACAACACTGGAGTCTGACTATTCTCTGGGATCCAGTCTACAGAACACTGGCCATCTCTAAAGTATTTTCAAGAACTCATGTACTCACAAGATTTTAACTTTCACTCGAGTACTTTCTCTTAGCTACAACTGTCAAATTTACCATTAAGCTGTGACCTCAGCTAGGATTAAACCCATCATCTTGCACTCCTAAACTGTTGTCTTTCTTCATTGTTCAGTTACTAAGTTTTATCCATTCTTTTAGAGTTGACCTTTTAAATTTTTCTCTTTGTCTTAGTCACTGTTCTACTCCTGTGAAGAGACGCCATGACCAAGGCATCTTTTATAAAAGAAAGCAGCATTTATTTGAGGGCTTATTTACTTTTTCAGGGGCTTAATTCATTATCATCATAGCAGGGAGCAGAGCAGCACATGACAGACATGGTGCTGAAGAAGTTGCAGAGAGCTCTACATCCAGATCCACAGGCAGCAGGAAGAGAGAGAGGAGAGACAGAGCCTGGCATGGGCTTTTGAAACCCCAAAACCCAGCCCCAGTGACACACTTCCTCCAATAAGGCTAATCCTAATCCTAATCCTTCTAATCCTTTCAAACAGTGCCACTCCCTGGTGACTCAGCATTCAGATATATGGTCTTATGAAGGCCATTCTTATTCAAGCTGCCACACTCTTCATTTTTCTGTGCAATTAACATCCTTACACTTTTATGCAGGATTGTTTATATATCAGTTTCTCCCTCTATTTGTTTGACGCTGGATCTCTCAAAAGAATTAAAACATAGGATTGTGGTTTCTTGAGTAGTAATCCCAAAAAGTATAACTGAGATTCTTAAGGATGGGAAAGAGGATGAATTCAAAGGTGTCTTCTGCAAACTGACTATAGTAACTGGTACTTGGCCTCACCAAGATCTTATAATGAAGCTTATGAAAAGCCTCTCGCAAAACTCACGCACGAGATGAACAAGGTCAATACCAGTTTATATGTTCCTGTCCCCCTGTTGCATAACTTTATCTGGGGAGCCATATCTATTCCTGCCAGATAGGACACCATGAACTTGTTATTCTCCTACCTTGGTCTTTTCTTAAGTAGCTGGGGCCACAGGCACATGCAGTTCAGGGCTGATACTTGAATGACTTCTAATCTAAAGGCACATTTTGTACTTTGTTCTTAAATATATACTTTGTGTCTCCTTTCTACAATGAGATTCTACCTCAGTGGCTTGTGATTATTCACTGTTATTAAAATACCAAAATGGGGGCTGGAGAATTAGCCAGCAGTTAAGAGCACTTGTTACTCTTGCAAAGGACCCAGGTTTGATTCCCAGCACCCACGTCATGGCTAACACCCATATGTAACTCCAGTCCTAGGGAATTTGATGCCCTCTTCTGACCTTTAAGGACACCAGGAACTGATGTAGTACTCATACACACATGCATATAAAACACTCATAGACATAAAATAATAAAATTAATAAATCTAAAAAGTTTTGCCATGCATGGTGGCACATGCCTTGAATCTCTTCACTTGGGAGGCAGAGGCAGGTAGATCTCAGTGAGTTCTAGTCCAGCCTGGTTTACAAAGTGTGTTCCTGCACAGCCAGGGCTACACAGAGAAATGCTATCTCAAAAGAAACAACAACAAAAATATCAGAATATTAGGTCAGTCCATCAGTCACATTCAATTTCCTCTGTCACATAGATACAGAGGGCCTAGGTCAGTCCCATGCACTCTGCTGGTTTTCTTTAAGATCATAAAACATCCTCCAGAAGATCTGTCCAGGTTAGCAATGCTATTAATTATGCATTAATCTTCTTATTCAGCTACCCAAGGATTACACAGATGAATTTAAAGTTTTTCACTTTGTTTTGGATTGATTTTTCTGTGTAGTCCTGGCTGTCCCGGAATTTACTCTGGAGACGAGGCTGGCTTTGCACTCACAGAGGTCCACCTGCCTCTACCTGTGAGTGCTGGGATTAAAGGCATACACCACCAATGCCTGGTGATTTTAAACTCTTTACCCTTATATAAAAGTTAAATTTCTTCAGTAACTAGGTTGATCATCATTGCATTTACTTATATTTACAAATTATATGAATACTTTTTTTTTGCATTCTATTCTCTGTGCCATCCACATGAGTTGGAAGACTTCAAAAATTCCTATTATGTACAAATCAGATGAAAACACCCAAACTATGCTTATAGCCTACATGCAAATAGCACTTATTTTTAGAATAGTCTAAAAATGAGATGGAGAAAACAAACTCACTTTCTTTATCCTTTGGTTAAAATATAACATCCAAGGAATGTGTCCAGCCCCTTACTCTTTCATCAGGGTTTTTCTTGTGCTAAGATAAAGTTCTCAGAAAATGTCTTCTAAAGAAAAAGGGTTGAGATGTTATTTTAACCATAAATAAATGTCTGTATGTTCTGAAAGTATTAGGACAAAGATTAGAGAATGTGTTTTCATTCAACAAGTACCCATTAAGCATTCTGTGTGAAGAGGCATGATAAGAGCATCTTCATCACTTTTCAGAAAATGGGTTGTTTTCCTATTTATACAAAATTTGTTTTGTTTTATTTAGTTTTTGAGAAATGGTCTTTCTAGGTAGCCCTGGCTATTTAGGGATTCACTATTTAGTCCAGTCCTGTCTTGCACTCACAGAACTCTGCTTGTTTCTGTCTTCCAAGTGCTGGGATTAAAAACATATACCACCATAGCTGGCTAGTTACACGAAGCTCAGACATTTTTCAGCGCAAACAATGCTTTGAAAACAGAAGAGTCAGCCTTTGATGGTTAGCTCATCGGTGCTTTGGAGAGGGGCTGAGAAAATGCTTTCTTGGAGACGGGTTAGGACTGAAAACTTCATTCTTTATTCATTTAGCCTTTCCCCTTCTTACGCATCACGCGATCTACCTCAAAAGTCAACATGGTATATACTAATACAAATAATGTGCGGGGTAGTTCACCAGCTTCATTCAAACCAAAACAAAACAGATTATTTAAGGAGCTCATGTCTCCATTTTTGTCTGCCAGGAGGTGAATCATTTAGAATATGTAGTCATGGTGGTGGTAATATTTTGTTTGTGCTGAAATGTAGTGATATTTTATTTGTGCTTTAATAAATAAAGCTTGCCTGGAGATCAGAGGGAAAAGGTAAGCCCGAAAGTGACAGAGCTGTGTAGGGAGAGGAAGTGAGGTAGCTGGACAGAGAGCAAATCAGATGGCAGAACAGCAAGGCATATAGACATGGGTAGACAGGAAGCAACTCGAATTTGGAAGCTGCAGAGTTGGTGAGGTAAGGTTGGCTGGTGGCTTTCCCTATTTCCCTGATCTCTCTAAGGCTTTCACCCCTATATTTGGCACCATGTTTTTTAATTAATAAGACCATTTAGAAATTCATCTACACATGCTAATTATTTTTCTGATCATAAGATGTTCACCAGTCTTGAATAGTTATTGTGTTCACAAGGTGATACACTT